TGGGTGTACGGGATGCCTGGGGAGAGCAGAGCACGGGCGGTGAGGCAATGGGTTCAGGGGTCCCACCGGCTCCCCGCCCGGTCCCCTCCAGCATCGCTGCTGGGACGCGTGCTCACGGATGTCACTGCTCAGGTGGGACCCAAGCAGTGCTTCACCCAGGTGTGCAGAGGATGCTCGTGTGGGTGCCGGACCTCCCCCAGCCTCCTGGGGTGCACACACAGAGAGGGGCGAAAGCAGACTCAGCCTTCCCCCCCCTCCCTCCCCCAAGCTGCTCTCCTGAAAACCCAGGTCAAGACATCAGAGTTTCCTGCAGGAGACACAGCCATGAGCACTTAGCGAGCTACGGATTTGGCTTTATTTCTCCAGACCGGGGAAAAAGAGCAGCACATCGCAAGCCCAGGCAAAGCACTGCTATAATGTGCCAAATAAGCTGAGCTTGCTTGGGAGCAGACCAGACTGGGACTAAGCCAGCCTTAACCAGGAGCTGCCTGCCGCCCTGTCAGGAGCCCTGCTGCAGCAAGGTCCGGGGAGCCAGCAAGGGCTCGCTTTCCAGCTCTGCAAGTCCTAAAATCGTCCAGCCGTGAGCTGGACAGTGCAAGTTGGAAGCGTGATGTCTTCTCCATCATTTGAGGGTCAGGTAGGTTGGAGGTGACCTCTGGAGGTCTCTGGTCCAGCACCTGCTCAGAGCAGGGCCAGCTTCGAAGTCACATCCCACTGGACATATTGAGGCAAGGCTTTCATCAGCAAACCCCTGATGCCAGCGTGCAGGCACACATGCTTCCTCCCAAAGGGAAAAATCCAGCAATAACTCTGGCAGGAGCTCACATGTGCTACCCGCCCTCCATCACAGCACCTCCGGGTGTGTCCACACCTATTTCCACACAAGCTTTAGGAGCAGTCATCTGCAAAATCACTACTCCTGGGCTCAAACTGGGCTAAAAACAGCCAGCAAATTAAAAACTCATAGCAGATAAGTGGATAGACAAAGGTATGCACACACGATCACATAAGCCTGTTTTCATAAGAAATCTGGCTAAAATGCTCACCTAAACTGCTCTGCAATAATGGTTTTTAAACACTCATGTTCCCTCGTGGTAGATCCCTCAAATTACAGAGATGCAAACAACATGGGTATGGGTGTGGAGAAGAAAGCCAGGCCTCCAAGCAGTACCAGGGCTAAAGCCTTGCCATGCGTGATCTTGGTGAGAAACACTTTAAAACAGCATCTATATGTTTCCAAGCCAGAGATGCCCAAAAGGACTCATGCACTGCCTAACGCACCCAAGCATCCTCCCAAGCACATGCCATAGGCTACTACGAAGGGAAAGCTACCTCCTCCGCATGCCTTGGAGCACTGAGACCAGCTCTTGAGGGCCCACTCGTAAGAATCCATCTCCTCAAGCAGGACATTGTTGTTTCCGATCATGGGCAGCAGGTCTTCATGGATGATGTACCTGTACATCAGGCTGCTCCTCGTCTCCTCCTCCTGAGGGATGACCTGCAGGCAGAGAGAGGACAATCAGAGAGGGGGAAGGAGAGGAAGGAGTGATGCCATGGGAGAGGGAAGGGAAGAGGAGGCCATCACAGAAAAAAGAAGTGAACAATGACCACCACATGGTATGGTACACACAAGAGTAGGAGAAACAAACCCCCAAACTACCTCCAACGTGATTAGGTGGGTTCTGAACACACCCTTCAGGAACGTACCTCTCCAGTTGTGGAGAAAAACACTGACCAAACATCCCAACTCCAGCCTTGGGTTGCATGCCCCTGGCTTCTCCTCTGACCTGCAGGACCACAGTCTATGCCCAAAGCCAGCGCCAACCATGGGGATGGACAGGAGTGAAGACCTACCCTTCCCTGGGTGCCCAGGGAACCCAATCCCTAACTCCCCCAAATACCAGTATAACTAAAATGAGATGTGGAGTGATAAGCAATTGCTGCACGGAGCAAAATACAGTTGGACTCAAAGGCAAGCACCCGAGCGATGCATACTTATGCGATTCTTGCACACAGCTCATTGCCCCTTGCTTTTGGCTAGCTCATTTCCCTGGTTTTAATGACATGCCCTACATCCTTTCTCTACCAAAGTCCTGCCATCACTTCCTACATCCCATCTCAGACCACCTTCCCTCTCTGTACCGCTGGGTGACGGTCATCCCCAACACTCCCAGAGGATGTATCAGCCAGGCTTACCAAAACACTGATGGCCTCGTGCAGAGGGCCGCTGGTTTTCAGGCTCTCTTTGCCATGTTCAACGGTGTATTCCCACTCCAACCCCATCTCAATGAACACTTGGCTTTTGGCTTCTTTGCCCTTGGCATTAAGGATGAAGTTACCTGTGGCTTGATTCTTAACAGCTGGAGGAGAAAGGAGGTATTTCAATGTCATTTCCTCTGGTCACTGCCTTTGAAGGACTGGAATGACCCAAATAACACCCTTTGGGTGGGAATTGTCAGAATGGGGCTGAGAAAGAGGTAGTGGGTGAAGGGAGAGGTGAACTACAGCGTACTCACCAATGCTGTGGGATGACGGCTCCATCTCTTCTATCTGAAGGTGTCTCGCCCCAGCTGGAATCTCAAACATCTTCAAAACACCTGCTGAAAGGCAGGGAGGAAGGATGGAGGGAAGAGAAAGAGCAGGTTTCCTCCAACAAGACACACACCTGCTCACACCCAACATGTGAATCCAGCTGACCCTGACCGAATCCGCTCCCAAACCCATCCAGCCCACTCACCTGGCTGCTTGGGCGTCTTGGCCAGTGTACCCTTCACCGTCCGGCAGTGGGAGTTGTCCCCCCCACAGACCCCGCACTTGTCATCCTGCTTCAGGGAGCCGACCTCCTTGTCACAGCCGACGTGCTGTCACCCGTGGGGAAGGGAAGACAAGTATGGGGTTACATCCCTGCAGCCCATCCCATCGCTCCGCCATGCCCATAGCCCTTTCGTCGGTCCATAGGCTAAAACATGTGTCCCCAAGGGGTAGTGGGTCAAGGGGATGCACAAGCTCTCTCCTGGACAGGCAAAGGAGAGGGACAGTCGTGCAGCAATCAACTCCTCACCACACACTCGCCCCGGACGCAGATGCTGTAGGGGTCTCTGTAGCTGCACCTGGTACCGTCGTGAACAACCTGATTCATGAACACCACGTCCCCCGTTCCCTCGGACTGGCAAATCAGCTCACACTTCTGAGCATCTGCAGCAAAATAAAAAGTAAAGGGTAAAAGGCAGGGGGAAAAAGGGTTTGCGGAAATAGATTAGGGTGATCGAAAATAGAAACCCATCTCAGCTTATACGCCTGAGCACAGCCAGATTTCCAAAGCCCAAGCTATTCGTGTGCCTCATTTTGCCGTGCCCGGTTGCTGCTCAAGAGCCTGAACTTTTGCCCAGCACACTCAGGAAATTAAGAGAAGGCAACTGGACTGGACACACTACGTGACACTGAAATGCAAGACGCTTGGCTGCGTGCATGAGGAACACCAAGCCAGGCAGGCGGACCTGGCTCCCATCCCAGCCCGGAGCGGCACGCTCCCCATTGCGGCGCCAGGAGCGAGCAGGCAGCATGGTCACCCCACCACCTCCAAGGAAAACAAGTCCTCTGTGTGCCAAAGCATACAGAGAGTGGAGATAAAATTTTTAAAGCAGTGCAAATGGATTTATCTCTGCTACCGTTACAAGGGGCTCTCCTCTTACTAGCGCAGGAGGAGCAGGGAGAGGTTTCAACACAGGCTGATCTTTTCAGCCCATCTCTGCTGTGCTTTGAGACAGCAGGAACCAGAGCAACATCTGGGTTTCTCTAAGTGACACCTGAGGGCAAGCACAAGAGACTGATTTTAAGGACCTGGCTGCTTGATGCTGGCTTATTGCACTCTAGTTTCCAGCTCAGGAGCGTTTCACAACCCAACGTCTGTGCAGCTGGCACAGTCCCCATCCCATGGTGATGGTGACCAGCGTGGCTTCCCCTGGGAAGGAAGGCAATTTGGCTACTGCTCCTTTGCCAGGACCTGCCACCACTCACCGTCATGATGCTCGTAGGGAAGCCAGGCATGCTTGCTGTTCTGGTGGGTGTAGTAGGAGTTGCGCTTGGAGCACTGCTGGGCACGGAAATCCTGGTAGGGCCCCGGGCACTCCTCGGCGTTGCACACTTGGTACTCGTAGGTGGCTCCCGGGCAGTGGCGCCCACCGTACGCCGGGCTGGAAAATAAAGCAAGTGGGTTAAAAAAGCATTGAGGGGGGGAGATGCTGTTCAAATGCGATACAGCTCAGCACCCAAATGCATGGCACAGCCCAGGCAGGAGCAGATGTCCTCATCCCAGCCAACTGAGCGCACAAGGGGAAGAGCCAGGAACCTGTTGCTCTCGGCCACTTCCAGTTTTACCCCCACTAAAAGGAGGGAGGCGGAGGCCAAACGTACAGCGGGTTGTCGCAGCTCCGGCTCCGAGAGCGCACGCCTCCCCCACAGGTTCTGGAGCATGAGCCGAACTTGGACCAGGAGCTCCAGCCACCGTCCTGGCTGTAAGGCTGCTCCGACGTCTTCCAGATGCAGTGACCCTTGAAGCACCACTGGAAGGGAGGAGAAAGAGGGGTGAGCTCTACACCTGTCTCTTCCAAAGCCCTCGGCACCAGTAAAGAGAGCCCTCCTACACCCACAGCACTGCAAAAACGGCTCGCAGTTTGCAAAGCACAGGAGGAAGGTGCTCTTCATCGTGCCCTTGGGCACGTCCCTCCTGTAGGAAGCAGGACCAGGAGTGGTCCCTGGGTGAGCAAGCTGCATCATTTCACAACCGACCCAGGAGCACAAGCAGCCCACAGCTTTGCTCTGAGAGCCCAGCACAGCTCCACGGCTGGGACTCGCAGCAGAAAATGCAGCAGAGGAACAGGGATCAGCAGGGCAGGCTCCCAACATATCCATGCTTTGGATCGGGTAAGAAAAGCCTGCAGCTTCATAAAGCTGCTCAAAAACTCATGCAAAAAGCTGCTGAAGGCACAAGCCTGGGGTATACAAAGATCCCTCTGCAAAACAAATTCCTTTGATTTTCTTACCCTAACACCAAATTTTTTAGCTCCTGGACTGGTTTTCTCTCTGTATTCAAACTGCCTCTCCCTACCCATGCAGATACTCGGGCAGGCACTGAATTACACCTGGGCCTGGGACGAGATCAGCCCTGGGGATGTATCCCCGCTGGCACAGAGGAGATAAACCCAAACTTTTGCAAGGAGCACAGCAGCAAGCTGCTGGGCATTTTGATAAATGAAATCCAGAGCTCCGCGCTTCTTCCCAGTCATGCATGCAACGCCTGGCACGAAGCTGCGTTGTCACCCCATGGGCACCTAAGCCCAGGGTTTAACTCCAGCCTTAGGGAAAAGCCCAGCCTGTGCCCATCACAGGCCTGAAGGAAGGACCTCCCAGTCCAGATGTTGCAGTCCTCTGGAGCCACGTGCCAGCACGACATGTAACACATCTGTACACAATTCAAAAAGCCTGATTTCAGAAGCTTTTGGCAAAGTGTCATTCAAGCACTCGAGGAGGCAGCATTTTCAGTGAGATTGCTGGGATTTATGCAGAAACTTATCAAAAGTTGTTGGATACTTTACACCCATCCATTCTCCAGCAAAGAACCACCCAAAAACTACATGGGCCAGCAGCTTTTCCAACGTATCCATGCTTTCATACTGTGCTAACGGACATGCTAAGAGAGCCTAAAGTAAAAGCCTGATGACATCATGAGGTTGAATGTGCAGTGACATCATCGCTGTTTTGCCAGGTGACAAGACGAGTCTCTGCAGAAGCAGGCAGATCAGAAGGAAGAACAAAGTCCTCATCTGAGCGCAAACTGGGTAAAATAAGGAGTAATGCCCGCTAAAAACCAGGCACCCACCGACTGCCGCCCTTGAGGGTGTCCACGTCCCCTCCCAAAGGAGGATCAGCCCCTACCTTGCCTGGAGAGCACTCGGTCCCATCCAAGGGTGGCCCCTTCTTGGTCTTGCAGAAGTAGGGGTTGTCCGGGTGGCTGCACCACAGCTGCTTGCAGGGGTCGAAGGTGCGGAACTGGGGAGCGCAGAGGAGCTGGGCTGGGACGGCAGTGGGGAGCCCCAGCAGGCTCGCAGAGCCTGGCTGGCTGTCCCAGGAGGGGCAATATGGGCATGCAACCTGTATTGGCTCCGTACTCACCGCCGTGCACGTTTTGTAGCCCACGCCGAAGTCAAAGCGGCACTGCTCGTCCATGGAGTAGTTAATGCCCGGCAGCTCGGGTAACGTGGGCCACTGGTGCTCAAAGGGGTCATCCAGGAGGCAGTCGTAGGAGCTGCAGAGATGCAGGGCAGAGGCAAAGCGGAGTAAGATATGGAGGATTTCCCTCCTTCACCCTTCCCTCACCTCCAGCCCTCTCTCCAGATTCAGATATGGAGAAATCTGAATTCTCTTGGTGCTGACACTAACTACCCACTGCTGGAAAACATGGTTTCAGCAAAAAATAACTGCATGGATATATTGGGTTTGCATCACAAGGTTTTGGTAGCAGGGGGGGCTACAGGGGTGACTTCTGTGAGAAGCTGCTAGAAGTTTCCTCTACGTCCGATAGAGCCAATGCCAGACGGCTCCAAGACAGACCCGCTGCTGGCCAAGGCCAAGCCCATC